TGTTTTTAACGAAGCAGACATCAACAAACTTTCGATTCGAATGAAAATTATTCTTTTAAGTATGTATTTTGTTTTTATACATAATTCTATTATTTTTGATAGTAACTATTGTGTAGATTTTAATTCGTTTGATCATCTTGCTTTTTGGTGCCGATGACGCACATTCATGCAAGTTTTTTTAATGAACCAATTACAAACGTTTGTGCGACATCATCAATTTTATTTTGCTTCGTCCAAATAAATATTAATCACAATTTTTGCTAAAAATTAAATAAAGCATGTATGTATCTATTTGGTAAAATAAATTAACAAACTTGTTACGTCTTTTTCTGGACGCGATCATTACTGGTAAACAACTGATGTCGCCGCATGATGAATCGTGGAGCTAAAATCAGCTGATTGTACGTGCTGACGTTTACTTAATATTCTTCAAAGTTCTCATTCATTTTTTAATAATAAATATATATATATTATGCATATGTAATAATATGTAGATTAATAGATTTTTTGGTTTCAATTTTTTCAAAATGCCACGCCCACTTTACATTGTTTAATTTTCAAACTGTGAAGAACCCTGCTCAATATGTATATAACGGAAAGGCATCACTTACCTGTGACTCAGAGTGGAATCCCTTTTTCTTAATTCTATCCATGATTGCTTCCAAGTTTCCATCACCATCACATAAAGCATTTCCTCCTCGAATTACTCTAATAATAAGATAGGAGAATGAGAAGATAGGTACATAATTCAATGAAAAAATATGATGTGTTGTTACTATGGCAATTATTCAATAATAACCAATATGTTATACATTTGCAGCAATCTATGGTACAGTATTAGTTGTAAATTGAGAAATAAATCAGCAAAATGAAAAAATACTCATTCAGAATAAAACATAATGGCAGCCAAAATACAGAGCAGGAACACTGTTCACAACTAGAAATTTCAAGAGCATTCATGAGAATGATATTTCAAAAAAAATCACTGCAACTCTATCCCTGTAAACTGATCAGAAAAACCACTATTCTGCTATAAATCACCCTTGCAACAATGTAATATTCCCTGACACATTGCGAGCATTGTTTTTTATGGCTTTGACTACAATCGTTGAAAATTAAGATTCAGAATTTGCATATCCAAAGTTCCACTAAACAAGAGTGCTTGAATTTCATGTGAAATTGTATGCTTATGATCAAATAATGATTAATTCACTGGGTTCAAATTGTAGAATGCTCAGTCAATAATTCATCATTTTCATGTTTCACACAATAGTTAAGTTTTAGGTTCAGTGCAAGAATGGGGGAAGGGATGATTTCTAGCTTGTGCAATTTGTTTGCTGGTTTCCCTGGTTTCTGGCATTCTGATGAACTATCAAACATTTACATGACAAATCAAATCTCCTACGCAAATGAAATTGAAGCGTTTTAACACCAAATTGCATAAGTTTCTAAGGTAACTATTCTGTTCTTTATCTTAAAATCTTGCTTATAAATAAAAAATCTATCAAACCCATTTAAAAATGATTGTTTCTGAGAGCGTCGCCTTTTTAGGACTAAAAGTGCAAACATCAACAAACACAAACACCCCTGACAATGTTTCTAGGAAAATTACAATGTTACAAGAAAGATTCATTGTGAGATAGCAGTTTTTCTGTTCAGTGTATTTTGACCGTAGAGTGGAATTGCCGGGAGCCTCGGAAAGAATGGAAACCTCGGAAAGTATGGAAACCTCAGAAAGTATAGAGACCTCGGGAAACATGAAAAGTTGAAATTGGCAGTGACCAAAATTGAAACAATAAGTTAGGGATTAGGGGTTAGCGTTAAATTATTTTTTAAATTTTGGTCACTGCCAATTTCAACTTTACATGTTTCTGAAGTTTCCATACTTTCTGAGGTTATCCATGGTTCCTGGCGATTCCTCTCTATGTATTTTGA